ATTATTAATGACTGCTTATATTCCCTTAAGTGGCTTTGCTATGATTTACATAACCATCCCTCATTTTTTAAAAAACGGTTTCTTCGTTGTCTGCAAAGCTAGATTATTTTCATGTGATAGGAAAAACAAAAGAAAAAATTGAGGAACTTCTACACTTTACTGTGCCACTGTTGTCTTTTAAGTGAACTCATTTAATTCCTTATCGTGATTTTGAGGTAGATGCTATTTATTTCCATTATACAGAAGAGGAAACAGGCAGGCCGAGGGTAAGTGAGTCACCCAAGGTCACACTGCAATTTTAGTGGCAGAATTGGGATTTGAACCAAGTGTCCTGCCTCCAGCCACCTCATTTACTTAGGGCTTAATGGCCTTTGCAGGTGGCTTTACTGTCTTCTCTGTCCTCCTTCCAATACTGGCACTTTATAGCTGATCATGTTCCAAGTGGCACTGAGTGACCCATCCCTACCTATACTTTACCTCATATAGCCTTGTCCTGATGTTACCCCAGAACACCAAGTACAGGGTTCTTCCTCTGAGAAGATGGGGATGGCTGTGTCACTGGGCCTCTTTCTTCCTCACAGGCCTCTCTGCTGGTGGGTCACAGCACTCTCCAGGGAAAATTGGGTCTGACTTCATGCAAATAGCAGGTGGACCAGATGTCCCAAGACTGGACTGGGAATGAAGCCAGTCCAGGTGGGGACCAGCCTCGAGATCGGAGGCATTCAGTGGCCCTCTTCCTCATGGAGGCTCAGCTGGTCCCCCACCCCGGTCCCGCCTGCCCTTTGGGCCTCTGCTTTTCCCAGCAGCCCCACTGCCCTCCGCCTCCAGTCCCTCTCACTGGCCCAGACAGCACAGAGGCACTCCCCCAGTGCTAGAAGGGACCTCAGTGTGTATATTGGATACTACTTCTTTCTTTCATCTTATAGAGTACGTTTTTTCGATTCTTAACTTTGAAATGATTGTAGATTTACAATCGAGTCACAAAGATAGTACAGGCAGTTCCCAGTTACCCTTCAGCCGGCTTCCTCTCACGCTAACATGGTACCTAACCATGGCACAGTGATCAAAACTAAGAAATTGGTTTCCACACAACACTATTAACTGAGCATTAGACTTTATTGGGAGTCACCAGTTCTCCATTAATGTCCATTCTGTTTCAGGATCCACTTGTGCCTGTATCTGACAAATGACCTAGAGGGTAGATATGGCTCCCTCAAGGTCACAGCAGGCTAGTGGCAGAGCCCAGGTTGAAACCAGACATCCTCCTTATACCTGGGGCTATTGCCCTCCTTACCCTTCCCAGTTTGACAAGAGACAGGGTTTGTTGCTCTGTGACCAACTCTGGTGTCACAGACACCCTTGCCCCACCCTGCCTGCCCATCCCATCCCTGTTTCTGAGGTTGCCCTCACTGCCTTTCTGCACACGTGCTCACACGCATATGTAGGTCCACATGCCTTGGCACGGCTGGCTCAGGTTTCACACACGTGGGCACTGTACTGTGTGGACACTCTTGTCTGCCCTGCTGTACAGCCACCCCCACCTGCCAGTGATCTTCCCTCTCTGGAAAGGAGGGCACAGAGCAAACTTGAAGGAGGCCTTTCTTTGTTTCTCGTTCTGAAGGTTTCTATCTCAGCCCCCCCATTCCTCAGCTTTTCCCATTCTGTCTCAGGGCCTCTTCTGCCTCAGTCTGGGGTGTGCACTCTTCCTCCTAAAGCCTTGAGAAAGTCTGCTTTCTGTTGTCTCAGTTCTCAGGAAGGGCTGGAACACTCCCCCCGGGCCTTGCCTGTGCCACCCTTCACAGTTTACAAGTGGCTGTCACGTTGCCTCATGTGCTCCTCACCGCAGGGGTGATTAGGTCCACTTCAGAGGAGCAGAGCGCTTTCCCCAGTGATAATGGGGGAGTGGAGCCACGATTTGTTGCAGTCTTTGCTCTTCCAGGCAGCCAGGCTGTCCGGTGTTTATCTTAGGCTGCCTCTGAGGCTCTCCCAGCCCTGCCCAGACATGACCTCATTCTCTCTCAAATCATCCCCGGGAGGCAGAAAAGAGTCTGGGACCAACGCTGTCCCCACTTCACAGATGGGAAAGCTGGGGGATACACACACACACACACACACACAGAGAGAGAGAAACTATGTTGACAAGTTGCTCTGTAGTTCTGGGGTTCTGACTCTCCGCCCAGTGAGTTCAGCTGTTTGGGAGGCAAGAGGTGTGGGGCTGGGGCAGCAGCGTTCACTAAGTGCCTCAAAAGATTGTGGGCCCACTGAGAGTCCCCCACAGCCTAATGCAGGGCCCGCCTCCAGGGATCTCACAGTTCAGTGTGTGAGAAGGGCCTAAGGAGGCAGATCTTGTGTGGCTGGAATTCCCGAGAGTAAAGTCTAGCTCCATGGTGGCCCTGGAGGCACATTTCATGAAAGTGGGCCTTTGTGTCGTAGCAACAAGTGCTGTGGTCAGGAAGGCCCAGCCAGGGGTTGGGGGGAGTTGGTGATGCTGAACAGCCCATGGAGCTCCTCCCGTGACATCTCATCTTCCCAAGAACCCTGTGAAGGAAGAGCTGTTGTGAGCCAACTCTACAGATGAAGAAACTGAGTCTCACAACTTATCCAGGGACACAGAGCCAGCCTGACATCTGGCTCCAAGTCCAATGCTTTGTCTGCTCCACCAAGCGACTGTCCCCCCAAAAGGGAGGTGCACAAAGCCAGCAGAAGGGAAAGGGGAGACCTAACTCAGGACTCCAGATTTGGCTGGCTTCATAGTTTCACTCCAGCTGGCCCTGCCTTCCTGTCCTGAGAGGTGGTTAAAGGAAGCTCTGAGGAGGGAAGGTCAGGCTGGGAGAGAAGCGGGAGCTCGCCAAAATCCACACCCTGCTCTCAATGCAGCTGGCTGAGCCAGCTGGGTGTGGGGGCAACAGAGATGAAGGAGCTGGACCTGGCCCCTGCCCTGGCAGGGCTCTCAGGCTGCAGGGTAGAGGGCGCTGAAACAGCACGGGAAATGCGGTGGGCAGGGGGCTGGGACGCTGATCCCACGACCTCCCTCTGCCCCCAGTTCCCCCTTCTATTGCCAGCCACACCTTAACCATCCCAGTCCTGCTCCCTCCCTCCTCTGAGCACTGTCACACCTCCAGCCCCAATCACTTAGCATTTGGCTTATGACCCCGAGTTGACTTTTTATTTTATGTCTACGTCTACCTTCCCAACTAGATCAGAATCTCCTCTAAGGCAAGAGCGTATGTCCCCTGTTACTGTGACATTCAGTATTTTTGGTGAAAAAAGGTTATTTGGGAAGTGTTCGTTTTGGGCAATGCAGTGGTATGGTTATGACAAAAGCTGGACAACGCGTTAGAGCGGCGGCCCCCGGCCCTCCGTGACGTTATTCGGCTTGTTGTGACGTCACCATCGCTGGCCACTGTGGCGCTCCGCAGCCTGCAGGCAGGATGACGTAACCGTCAGAGCCGGCGCCGACCTGTGCGCGCTGGAGAAACTAGCGAGACTGGCGGCTAGACGTACCGGGAGAAGGCGAGGAGAAACCGGGAGAGACGCCGAAGCCGCAGCCGGGCGCGCGGTGACCGCACAACCCGGAGGGGCGCCCGGCCCCCTTACGGAGTGGCCCCGCCCCCGCGGTGACCAGCGCGTGCCAGCCAATCCGGGCAGGTCGTGGGAACGCGCAGCCTATCAGCGGCCGGGATTCGGCCGGCGCTTCCGCGTTCGCGTGCACGCCCGGCGGGAGTCTGCGGGGGGAGGGGACGAAGGCCGAGGGGACGCGCC